TGGCAGGGAAAGGTTATAGTTTACTATTTTTGAAGTTTACATTGTTGCATACAAAATTAAAAGTGTTCTTTTGAACTGCTGCCATAGCCTAAGGGTCCCTCTTGCCACTGAGGTCCTCTTTGTCTCAGGCAGGAGAGGCAATCACTTCAAAACATTTTAGCAAATCAACTTCAGATTCCATTATCTGTTTGGCAAAGCTAAATAATAAAAGATTTTAAACTCAGCCTCGGTCAATGCTATCTGTTTCCTTCTCTTGACTGCACCTTTATTCCAGTTTTACTGTGGGTAGTATTTGGACACGATCATCAGAGCAACCAATGCTACAACTTGATGCACTGCTTGCCAGTCTGTCCCCGACAGCAAAGTCTGCTCCAGCCTTCCTGGACGAATCCGCCTGGAGGGCTGATGTAAGGCATCAGTCAGGACACACGTGTCCAGCAGCAGCAGACCAAAGGAAAAACTGACCTTCCTTTGAAACCATCGGTGAGCAGCTGTACATGCATATGCTAACAGGTATTCAGGGGCTATGGGTGGGACATGAGTTCGTAGATTAATAGTCAGGCCCTCGTCCAGGCTGCCTGTTTGTTCCCTGCATAGTTCTTCATGACCAAACCGACACTAGAGACTCGCCAACAGAGATAACGCACACAGGCAAAAATCCGAGGCTGTGGGAAGCTGCTCACAACCACTGCCCCATTCAGTGTTACATATCTGAATTTTCAAATCTACGTCTTTGGGAAGCAGAGGAGGGTAAGGCACAGGACAGGAACACAGGTACAACTCTAATGTCTGAAGGGCACACACAGAGGCTTGATCTCAAAGTTCCCAGATTAAAGTTTACTCCATCTTTGGGTGTATCATTTTGTCATCCTCGAAGAACCCCACACCCCTCCCCAAGCCCCCTGCCTCAGGCAAGGCCAGAGAAGACTGTACAAACAGTCCGTCCATAGTCACAATAAGTGGCATCTTCTGTCATTGCCGCACTCCATTTTACCGCGTTTTTGATACAGTCTGGTGGGTATCCAAAAGGCTCTAAATGTCACTCTAAAACCTGCAACTAATGTGTGTTTATTACTAAAACAGCAGCATATTTTTTAACAGTCGGTACAGATTGTGGGGGGAATTCATGCACCAGAACGGACAGCACCATCAGTAAAACTCTGTGGTTTACCAGATGTAGCTGTCACTGCTTCTGTTGGCTCATCCTTCCCGAGAACAGGCTAAACACATGCAAGGGATGGGATTTCAAACAGTGCTTCATTACAATCACTCTCCTGAGTGGGAGCTGGGCAAACTAGATTCACCCAAGTTAAGCAACTCTAAACTGCACAGAGACAAATTAATCAGAGGAACTGACCTGTATTTCTTCAGGCAACACCTTGCCCTAAGGATGAACACCTGACTTGATGGTGAGCTGCTGCTTAGCAAAACCTTCCAGACAGTGAAGCCCAGGATGTGACCAGGAGAACGTCAAGCAAGCAGCATGTCCAAATGTGTACATGTGTGCATCTGTAAGTGCCAAAGCTTCACAGATCTGAAGCTGAGGAACAAAAGGAGTTGTTGGAGTTGTTGGCTTTCACCAGAAGGACAAGGCAGAGAGCAAACCCTTCTGAGAAGGCATTAGGAGTAACCAGGCCACCCTTCAGGTGAAGGCAAGATTGAACCCTCTCGATCTTGGACTTTTGAAGGACTCCCAGGACAAATTCAGTGCCTCGGAGACAACGGCTGAGTTGTGGCAGGCTCCCCTGCCTGCCCTCATAGGCCAAAGCACTGGGTGCCATCTCTGCAGCACCCTGCGAGTCAGACCCACTGCTGACCTGTATGGACCCACACAGCCCTGCAGAGCTGTACCTGCTCTGCAGAAGAGAGCAACACAAGCCTGGAACCAGCACTTTTAGCCCACCTTTGGCCACCTCAAACCTTCTCCTGAGGCAGAACTGCAGGTCCCTGCAGCATCAGGCCTGGCTGCCTGGTGTCTTTGGTCTCCTGCATCATCCTGCATGGCTCCTGCCCTCGCAGAGCATGGACAGCCACCAGTGTGCACCCTTGGTCAAGGGCTGACCTGGATCAGCAGCCTTCCGCCCCAACTTAGCCCTCACAAAGTGTCTTGGCTCCTCCAGCAAAGGAGGAAACCAGTAATGATCCAGTGGGCTTGTTAAAAGAGCAAGTTGAAAAAAAATCTCAGGAAAGTAAATGGCATTACCAGACCCCTTTGCAGCTGTTGGCTCTCACTGCTGCACAATACAGCAGTGAGGAATCTGAGGAAGGAACAGCAGCTTTCTCCCTCCCTTGCACACCTTCCTCCCTGGCTTGTTGTCTGTAGTTGTCTCCTGCTGCTACCTTTATCATCATTTTTTATTGCAGCTCTCCACAGTGACTGCATGAGCCTTTCATCAGCACATGAGTCAGAGCTAGGCTTATTTTAAAAAATTTCTCCTGTTCTTCTGTCTAGGATGGTTGTATTCACATCAGTAGTCTTCAGAAAATAGCTATGAAAGGGAGAAATCCAACCACAATACTCACCAGATGAACAGAAGACACTGAAACCAACATGTAGCCTAATTGTGTTGGGGGTTGAGGGTAGACTAGCAGGACCTGTAGATTACCAAGTTCTGGGGCTGAATTGATGTCTCCTGCAAGCTCAGGGAGAAGTCACTCATCCACAGCTCTCCAGAGTGCTCTGTAACAAAGCTGGTACAATATTTAGTTGGTCAGGGTTAATACAGACAGTATCTTCAACCTATAGGGAAGGTAACATCACCAGGTTGACACCATTTCTGGTCAAAAGCCCTTCTGCTACCGTGCCTGCAAACCCAGTGGGAAGTGAAGGCTTCCCTGTGCAGTGAATAAGGAGGTCTGAATCAACTTGCATAGCTCTGGATCATATTCCAAATACATTCAAAAATCTGCACCACAGAAACAGATGTGAAACACCCCTCCTCTTCACTGAAAAGGAAGTCACAGGTCTCCAGCACTTCAGAAGCTCTAGGAATAGCACCAGTCACCTGCCTGGGCTCTGTGGACTCAGAAAGCAGGCTGGGACTAGGGGGGCCACACAGACCCAGAAAGCAGGCTGGGACTGGGTGTTTCTTCAAGGAATGGGGAAAGAACAAAAGCCAGAAACTATGCAGCTAGTGCGAAGCAGGAGCACAGGAGAGCTGCTGATGGGATCAGGACAGAAATGCCTTTCAGGAAACACTTCTCAGGGGAAGATCCCCACCTGCCCCTCACTGCAACTCCAGTGTGAAGAAATAGGGCCTGGGTACATGATGTACAGTCATAAACTACAGGGAGTTTGGCTCCATGTCCCTGATTTGTACTGCAGAAAGGACAGAGTCCTTCAAGACCTCCAAACCGAAGCTACTCCTTGGCAAAGGCCAAGGCTGAGAAGCTTCTTTCACAGCTCAGTCCTTGTGCAAGCTGTCTTTGCAGAAATTGCCAACAGTAATGGATTTTGATGGATGAGTTTAATTAGCTCATCGTTATTAAAAGAGAAGCAATTAGATTTTCTTCTTTAGTTGGCATGTTCTAGGGCATTTCCATAACAACCTGCACCTTATCTAAAAGTCCTGAACATTAAAAAGCGAAATAAGAAAAAAAGGAGCTGAAAGATCTTGTGAAAGCAAAAAGGAAGTCAAATGAACAGATGCCCATCTGCAACCTAAAAATATACCTCTAAGAGGAAATCACATTCTTAAGGACAGGACCAGTAGCTCAAACTAATGCTTCTGAAAATAATAAGCCTCTCTTCTACCTGAAACTCTGTTAGAGGGATGTTTATATA